ATAACATTCTCCCATTGCTGCTGAAGTTTTGTTTGATTGTTTTCATGGTCCCTCTCCTGTTTATTATGAACTGAGTGAGTAATGTGTTGCCTTTTAATTCTGTTTCTTAATTTTAACTCTTGCCCACAGGCTATTCTTCTAATGTATTTAATTTGCATCCTTTTATGTGCTCTTCTAAAATATGCATCATTTGATAAGCTTCTATCTTGAATTTACCTAAACGGCTTGATTTTATCCCTTACTCAAGGGTTCTCTGCATCTGCCTTACACCCTTTCCAGTGCCAATACCTACTTAATGCTCTCACTGTTTGTTTCATGCTGCCTCAGGGATTCCTGGAGGCAAGAGTGTACCATCAACCATTCACTCCCAATCCTGTGGCTTGCCCCAGTATTTAAGGTTCATTAGACTACCCAAAAGTCAACCTTTTTTTGTTTCTTTTCTTTTCTTTTTCCCCATCTGCATAGCCCTCTCCCCTGAGAAACTTGGTACCAAGTTCCCCACTTGCCAGCCTGGAGGGAATTGCAAGGCTAGCAGACTGCCCAGTCCAGAGCATTCCCTGCAGACTCAAACTAAGGTCATGGACAAGGCTCCATCTTCCAGTTCTCTTACCTCCAACTAACCCCTCTGGGCTCCTAAATCACTCTCTTCTCCACTGGGTTTTTAAGCAGCCTTGTTTCCCAATTTGTGCTAACGCTTGCATCAGGAGGCCTGAACTTCAGCCCCAAGATTCCTTTATGTACCTTCCAGAAGACGTTACATGTCCCTCCTCATTTCCCAGCCTGTGAGCTCAATATTTACAAGAGGAATAGAAATGTATGTGGTGAATCCCTACTGTGACATTTGTATAATAACTGCCTTCTGCTCATCCCATTGGCTGCCTTTAACTTTAGTCTGATTTATCTATAGAAAAATGCTAGGGGAAGGGCACAAAGGGGGATCTATCCCAAAGTTAACAAAGCTTGAGATGCAAGGCCCCTACCTACCAATGTGTTCACAAGGACATATGCCTTGTTAAATTTGCAAAATTAAGACATTTTAACCACAATCAGTGAACACTTCTGTCTTTGCTTTCTGATTTCCCTTTTATCATAAGCTCCCTTATGTCAGAGAGCTTTGGAGAACTCGTGGATATTGTGGGATCTGGCTAAAGGAAAGTTGGCTTGGGGATACACGTAGTGGGGTTTAGTGGGTACATTTATGTTTCTTAAGCATTGTTGTGTCTTGTTATAGTATCTGTATCCTAAAACTGTATTCTTTTCTTAAAGAGGGTATCCAAAATTATAATGCTTCCCTCTACTTCCCAGAGCTGGGTCTCCCCACTCAGTGAGGCACAGTGGAATTTGCTTCAGAACCCACATATACCCAGAGGGTGACCTTCGATATGAATGACTCTATCCTGATCTTAGTTTTGAAACATTCCTATTGTAGGTGAATCTCTAGTTTCCAGTTGACAAGAGTGGCCTTTGGCTCAGAATAACAACCCACATCTCTTTCTGGTTTTCGGTATCTCTCCCCACCATTTCCCTACATGCACACACACACACACAAACACACATACACACACTCTTCTATATCTGGTTCAGTTGGATCTCCTAATTAAGTATCAGAAGCTGGAGTACAGATTGGCAATGAGCCAGTTTTAAAAAATGAGCTCCTCCATGTATAGTGTTGGGGGGTGGGGCACGGGGAGGGCTGTGCAACACAGAGCAGACAAATAGTGATTTTACAGCATCTTACTATGCTGATGGACAGTGACTGTGAAGGGGTATGTGGGGGGGACTTGGTGAAGGGGGGAGCCTAGTAAACATAATGTTCTTCATGTAATTGTAGATTAATGATACCAAAATTAAAAAATTAAAAAAAAAATTGAGCTCCAGTGTACAAGGCAAACACTTTCCAGAACACCCACGGCTGCCAGTCTTAACTTTGAGGGCCATAGTAGGAAACAGGCTTACATAGCTGGTGATCTGGAATTGAAGCTTTAAAGAGAGGTATCTTTCCATCTCTTCACTTAACAGAATAGCAGAAGGACAAAACTCTTTTAAATTAGGAAAGCCCCTCAAATCAGTATCTCAGCAAAAATCTTAGCACACAAAAAAAGTGCTCAAGAACTATTAACAGAACCTCATTTTAGAGGAAAGCACCCCCAGTATTGCAAATGAACCCCTTTTCCAATCCTGGAAGAGAGGTCTTTCCATTGGCTTATATTCAAGATTAAGTTTTTTGTTTTTTGGAGAAGGAGAGGAGAATTGTTTTCATCTTTTCCCCCGTAAAATGCCTTTCCAGAAACATTAACCCCACCTATAGTTTTAAGAAATGTTAACTTTCATTTGTCAGATTTTTAAACCATTTTTTTCTAGTTGTAAAAGTAATCCATTCGTAAACTAATTTAACAAATATTTACTGAATGCCTATAATATTTCAGGCCCCATTTTAGTTACCTCCTCACTAAGAGAATGTTCCTGTTATTGAAGTCTTTGCAAACATTATTTAATATCACAATAATTATTTTATGATAAGTAGGCCCCAGAACTGATTTAGCCATTCTTTTTGGTAAATGCTTAGACCATTTCCAATTTCTCCCTATTATAAATAATGCAGCAATGATCTTCCTTGTAATAGACTCTTGTCTATATCTATGATTATTTCTTCAGGACAGATATTGAGGAGTGGAATTACTAAATTAAAGGGAATGAGCACTTTTAAATTGCTTGATAAGTATTCTGGCAGACTTTCTAATGCATATATAATCACCTCTTGACTTCCCCAAAGCCCCTTCAAGTGAAGAATCACCCTTCCCTATTTAAAGACAAGAGAATATATTCTATTCCTTCTGTAGAGGTTTGTTGATTCCTAAAATAATTTCATTTTCTGGTGGCAAAGTAATCAGGTGGTGACAGAGTTACTGTTGTTTTCTTGAAAACCTATAGTCCTTCCCATACTGCACTCATTTTGAGGATCACATTTTTGTATTCTTTCTGCAAAGGCAAAACACTTAAGTAGAGTTACCCACACACTCATCTGCTCATTACAGTCACTCTACACAGACAAGAAGTCAATCCACAGTGGAAATAATGATCAAGAAATAGTTATGTGCAGTTATATAAAATTAATCACCTTATTATGTATAGAACATACTGGAGCTTTGGTGGAGGGGGTGTAGCTGAACACCTCCCTGAACAGCCTTGCTCACAGTAACAGCATGTTGAGTAAATGAGCCTTCCTAGCTCCTCAGCATCTCTGCTCTGGCAAGTCAAATGGTAAAAGTGCCTCACAAGGTACTTTTCAATATAGAAGCAAACTTCATTGTATAGAACTTTATCTTCTAATTTTTTTCTGGAGCAACTTCACTCCCTGACTCTCTACTAAGAAAAATGTCTGCTTTCCAAGAAAACCAGTGCCATCTTGAGAATGCCTCCAGTACACAGTGCTCAAGAACATCTAGGGGAAATAAAGAAAACCTCTTTGGTCCCTTCAGTCTAGTTTAAGGTGGAATATTTGCTATCGCATTACCCTCCTTGCCCTTTTGTGCATCAGGGGCCCCTTTAGCAGGGATTTTGTTTATATAATGGCCTGATTGAAACAAGAGCTACTAAGATTGAAATTCAAGTTTTTCTCTTTCCTGGAAGCCAGGCAGCCTGAATATAATTGATTGCCTGTTTTTTCCCTCTGAGTCCAGACTATGGAGAAATCCATGAAAAGAGCAGAGTTTCTTCTGTGGATAACCAAAAGGTGTTTTGCCAGAGTGGAGAACAGATTCTGTGGTGGGTTGTGGAACAGCCGTCATTCATTCACCTAGCAATGATGTACTGAATGTTTAGTATGTGCCGGAAACTGTCAAGGCACAGTGTGAATAAAACACGCAGATAACCTGCCCTAGTGAAGCTTGCTGCTGGGTGAGAAGCAAACAGTCACGCTCATAAATACAAAACTGCGGTCTCCGTAAGTCCTGGGGCATCAAGAACACAGAGCTGTGAATGTCTATAAGGGATTTATCTTAATTGGGAATGTAGACAACTGTTGCTGGAGTTGAGACCTGAGGGACAATGTGGAAATGAGGGAGGAGAGTGTGTTTTTGGCAGAGGGAAGATTGTACAGAGGGTCTGAAGTTCAGACAGTGAGAAGGGGGGGTACAGGGCAACTCAGAGAAATCAGGGCCATGCAGGATTTTGGTCTCCATTCTAAATGGGTCTTAGAGTGTTAAAGCCCCTATTACTTGACAATTTCACTCTTAGGGATTTATCCAAGAGAAAGGAACATATGTCCCCAAAAGACCTAACATGAATATTCACAGCAGCCTTAAAATAGCCTAAAACTGGAAACAATTCAAATGTCCAACAATGGATAAATTGCAGATATATTTATACTCAATTGAAAGGAATGAATGCACACAACACAGAATAGTCTCAAAAAGATTATGTTGAGTAAAAATAGCCAGATACACAAAAAAAGGCCATACTGTGTGATAATATTTGTATCCAAGAACAAGCAAAACAAATCTATGGAAATAAAATCAGACAGTGGTTTGACTGTGGGTGTGTGAGCCAGGCAAGGGGGCAAAATGACTGGAAAGGGGGAACAAGGGAACTTTCTGAGGTGAGAGAAATGTTCTGTATCTTGTTTGGGGTGGTGGTTGCACAGGCATATCCAACTCGCAAAACTCTTCAAACTGTACTAAAGATCTGTGCTCTGTATTATTATTCGTATAAAATAAAAGTTTAAAAAAAGTACAATACACACATTAAAGTATTTTAAGTATGAGAATGGCATCAGATTTGCAATGTGAAAAGAGCCCCCTGGCTGTGGTCTGGAGAAGAATAAGAAGGGGCCAGAATGGCAAGACCTACCTGCATTTTATATAGAAGAGTTCAGACCTCCCCTTGCTGACCTCCCCTAGGAACTGTGCAAAACAACTGTCAATGGACAAAATAGGGAATTTAACGGAGAAAAAAGCTGGGAAACTGGGGTAAGAGAAATAAGAAACCACAGACAAAGGAGCTAGATTAAACCAAACTTCTATTACATAGAATCTTTCAAGACAGGATTAAAGTAATCATGTTTGTTTTTAATATTTCAAGTCTGTTTGATGCTTCCTTAGATTCTCTACCCTACATCTAAGATTTTCTTCAGAAATTAGGTAAGTCTAGCAGGTTGGAATTTGATGCAATAGGAAGGCAAAGTTATTTATTACCCATGGTTGGAATGAATAGTATTAAAATGAGAGAATGTAGTCAGGTTATGTCTCAAAAAGAACACAGGCAATATTACAACAATGTAAGAGAGCTTGGGGGCAGGAGAACTGAGTTGTAGAATCATGTAGGATCCTAAAGGGTTTATCCCAGGCACCAAGCAAGACAAAGCCAGAAAGTTATTTGCTTGCTGAAGGTTAAAATATCACAGAATTTAAGCATTTTAGAGCTGGAAAGGTTCTTAGCATTTCAGCATACACATTTCAAAGATTAAATGCAGACGTAAAGGGACCAAATTACTGAGGAATACTCATAAGTAACATTTGACAGCACTTTACCAAGTACTTCTACATTCATTGCCTCATTAAATCCTCATAAAGTGCTGGCAAATAGTAATTATCGTTTCTTCTTTTCAGAAGAATTGGGGCTCAGAGAGTGAAGCAGAGAAAGCTTAATCTCATCAACGTTTATTTCTCCTCTTCTTAAAGGGGTGTGCCACTAAATCAGTTCCCAGCTCTCTTATAGTAGGAGGGGTAGTCTGGCAAAGAACTGAATTCTGGCCCCCTCCGTTAGGGATGACCACTAAAACCAAACATACAGTCCTCTCTTCTCTACATTCTCTTCTTTGCCTGCCCTCCAGAAGCACAGGATCCAGAAGAGTCCAAGCCCCAGGCAATGGTGAAGCCATCACTTGGCAGGAGCCTGGGTCCTTGAATGACTCTGGGAGCAGAGATATTTTTCCCTATCAACTGACCAGAATTAGACTGTAACAGGAATGAGAAATAAACTTTTATTGTGATTTATTTATAAATAAACTTTACTGAGGCTTTGGTGCTTGTTACCAAAGCAACAAGTTACACTAACAGAAAGGTTAAGGGACTCCACAAAATCCATATATTAATTTAGTTAACAAAAACCTATTGAGCATTCATTATATGTGCCAGATATTGTGGTGCATTGTGGCACTAAGTGTACATCAATGAATTAAAAGACAGATATAGGCCATGTCTTCATGGGGCTTATACATCTAGCAGCTCAGTTATGGACAGGGCTAGGATCCAAATGAAAATCTGCTAACTCTACATTTCTTCCATATTCTACTCCACATTCTTCCTCCCAAATAATCTGAGTCAAAATCTATGACATTCCTCAAATATTACTTTGAAAAACAGGTATGTCCCACCATAAGAGTTATACAATGGAGAAATGAAGTAGGAGTTTTCACTAAGCTTCTTTGCCCCTGGAGACCTAAGAAGGCCCAGCTGTGATAAAATTCCCTTGTACTGTAGAGCCTTAGTCAGTAGAGGAGACTGGGAAACCACTGCTTTCAATCATTTAAGGATTACCTAAAACATCCATTTCAATTTCTATTGTTTAAAATGCAATGAATCCATTTCCCTCCATTACTGAGTTGCAGATGATTTTAACTCCTCCAGATCTAAAGTTCTATGAGCCTATGAATCTCTCTTATAACTGGCTTTCGAGTGTTTCATGGTCACTGTTGTGAAGAACTGTTTTCATCATAATGCATTGTTAAGGGACTGTTCTGAATCTCTCAAGTCAGGATATCCCTAGCAACTGGTTGGATTTTTTTAGACTACTCCAGTTTTACTCTTAGGATACTCACGCTTTACTCTCTTTTCTAGACATTAATTTTGGCAAGCATATAGAACAAGCTGACATAGCCAACAGATTCTATTTCATTTGTTTCTCAGACTGTGCTCTAAACATGTATGTATATATTTTTTCAAGTTAATTTTGATCGTGATCATTTAATTTTGAACACGATTATTACATCAGTTAAGACTTTTTTGATTTTAGATTCATTCAGATTCATTTTGATTCAAATGTTGATTCCATATGTAAGAAAGATCCATTCAAATGGGCTTAAGCAAAAAATTAATTTTTGGTTTAAGTAATTAGGATCTAGTTTCATTTTCTCCGTTTCTCAGTTCCATGTCTTTTGGGTTGGCTCCATATCAGACAATCCCCTCATGGTCATAAGATGACTGCAGGAACGCTAGTCTTACAACCCTTAAGTTCCTATTCAGTGGAGAGAAAGAACTTATCTGCTGGTGGCACGTGTGAAAGTCTTTAAATGCCCTTGGATTGCATTGGTTTAAGTCATGTACCCACCTCAGGAACACATGTGCAGGTTATCTTGGGCCTGGGTCATGATTCCACTCTTGGTATAGAATCAGAATGCCACTGAGAATTCATAGACTGAGAGTGGGGAAAGGGTAAATCCCCAGAAGAAAACTGAAGGCTGATTCTGTAGGGAGGGGCAGGCAAAGAAAAACTATGGAATGCAATGATTAACACTGCACTGAATGCACTGAATGATTATAAGCATTGAAACAAACCCAGATTCTTTTTAAAGAACAAAGCCATTAACAAGCTTGGAAAGCAGTCCTTGAACTCAGCAAATGTCTGGGTAAACACAGAGATTAGGGTTTCTACTTAGCCTTAAAGACTACTAAGCTGAAAGAGTAAAATAGAAACACCAAAACTCTTAGAGAAAGGGTAAACTTGAGTAGGCACCTGGGAAATTATTTATAACTAAAGGGAAGAATGATAATAACAAAGTAAACATGCTTTCTCTTACAAATCATTTGTTTCTTATTGCTTTAGAAAAGGAAGTATCTACTAAAGTGACAATACACATTCAGTGCAAGTGTGACAGGAGAGGTAAAGAATGATAATACAGTTTAAACTAAGGTTGTTATTAAGAAAGCCCTTGGCAGGCTGCCTGGATAGATGTCCTAGCATTAAGCATAAATAAGGACAAAAATCGTTTTGAACAACTGCTGCTTTTGTTAAGAAAAACGCAACAGTCATTGATGGTATGGCCACTATTTCTTACTGATAGAATCCGGACCTGAGTACCACCTTTCGAAAAAGCCCCACCCACGATCTGAGAGAGAACTAGGTGTCACCTTACTTAGGATACACACATTCTCCAGAGGACTCATCAGCAAGCCACAAGCCCACCTTTCCCCTAACCCCTCCCCTCAAAGAGCCCACCAAAAACCCTGGCCATAAAAAGCCTCTTGACCTGTTAAGAGACCCCTTTTCCTTTGTTCTGCTGGCCAGGACAGAGGGGTCCCTCTCAGGTTTAGCAATAAACCTGGACTGTTGAGTTCACATCCCTTCTTTTTCTTTCTCTTACCATTTTGGGTGCTTATCAAGATGAAGTTAACTTTTGACAATATAAATGAAGTTAGCTTTTGACAATGTAAAATTAAAACCAGACTTATTTGAAGTCACTGTGTGAGGTCTCTCTCCTATGGTGATAAGTGACTGAAACCCAAGTCAAACCAGCTTAAGCAAATTCATAATGAATTTATAACATTTTGCAAATGTGCAACATCAGGAGATAATCATCTACTTCACTGACAATTGTATACAGGTCAAAGGTCATAAAATCATACATTTAAATTGTGTGCATTTCATTGTTTGTAAATTATACCTCAACAAGGTGAATTTAAAAATGGTTCTCCATGAAGCAATCTTCCCCTACTAGTCTGATCCTCAGTTGACACTTCTTTTCCTAAACATAAATGACAGCACACTATTAACTGATGATTTAACATCATATTTAGGTCTTCAATTGTTAAGCAGACCATACTGCCTAATTGTTTAGTTCTCCCCCAGTCCAACTCAACCTTTAGCTAACTATAATGTGTATGGAAAAGAGACAGTGTTAAAATATATGGTTTAAACTCGTAAGGAAATGATCAGTTACCAAGCATATCAATGAGTGATCATTCAAGTAGATGTGATTTACGTAAAAGCTACAAATTTCTTTTGGACATCAGGAAAGAGAACTCCAATTTCTGAGAGCCAACCATACCATGTGTATTCAGCTCTGTCCTACAGAGACATGATAATCTCAACCCAAAAACAAATCAAGTTAAGCTTAGTGATTCTTGCTGTGATAGAATGACCACAGTATTTGCTGCTTCTCCCTTCAAAAGAGTCAATTTCCCTACTCCCTAAACCTGGGGTGGCCTTGTGGAAGTGATGTGCCAGTTCTGAGACTAGGCCTTAGAAGACCTTGCAGCTGCCAGTATTGTACCCTGGAAACCCTGAAGCCATGGGAACAGCCAGGCCTAGCTTCCTGGGTAAGAAACACATAGTCCCCCTATTACTCTATATGACAGTCAGTCACTGCACATACGCGTGATGCCATCCAAGACCAGCCAGCTTCACTGACCCAATTAATGACTTCAGGTGCAACGGCAAGCCCAGTCAGGATAAGCTGAGTCCAATCTAGACCAGAATTATCCAGAACTGTGAACTTGTTTTAAGCCAGTATATTTTGGGGTAATTTGTAATTTAACAATACATAACTGATACTCAAGAATTTATCCAAAGTTCCCTTAGAAAAGAGACCCTCCAAGTAGCTTTAAACACATATTAACAAGTCATTAAATTCTTTAACTGAAAGTGAAGGTTCAAGCTGGAATGAAGGAATAATTTATTTCTCCTTGGAAATATTAGTCAGAAAATAAGGTAAAGTGTTTCTGAATGGATAACTAGGATGAGTGAGGAAATGATCTAATAATTTAAATAGTAAATGTGTGATTTCAAGGGCATATCCACTGGAATACCAGAATTGGTTCACACCAACCTGTGAGATCCAAATAATCAAATTTTTAGAAATTTTGTGAGCCAGTTGTGAAACTGTTGGTAAATTAAGTCGGCCATTCTATTTGTTTTTGGGTTGAGATTGTCATGTCTCTGTAGGACAGAGCTGAATACACATGGTATGGTTGGCTCTCAGTTAGAAATTAAATCTTTACTAGTATACCAGTGGGCACATCTGTTGTTGGGAGACAAATTTCATCAGTATTCATATCCACAAATATGCATATAAAAATATTCTTAACGTTTAAGGAAGACATTGTTTGGTTCTGACATTGTATGTGATCTTGGGCAAGTCAATTAGTCTTGCTGAATCTCAGTTGCTCTACCTGTAAAATCAAAGCCTGAGCTCCAAAATCATCTTTAGGGTACCTTTCAGGTTTACTATTCTATCATCTATGATTCTACTGATGGTAGTTATACCTGGATGGCAATGGTGGAAAAGGCCAATGGGGTCATGTCACATCAACCATATTAATAAACCACAAACTTTACTCTTATCCAAGGCAAACAGAAGTAAGTGTATAATAGTAATTCAATGTGCTTTGGATTACGGTGGAGGAAGAAGTGAATTCTGACTAGAGGGAAAAGAGAAGATCTGGGCAAGACATTTTGTCAGGGATGAGGTCTCATAGTTGAACCACAGTGGCTTAAACTCTATAGGTGCTTAGTAAAATTTGCTTAAATGATTAGATGCTTGGAGAGAACATTAGAAAGAAGATATAATCCTGGTGAATTAAAGACTGACTGAGAATGATTCTATTTGTGATTTCCTGATCTAATTGTGAGATTCTGCCTCAGTTTCTCCATCTAAAAACAGGCATTAATTAATTAGCATGTAAGAATTTGGGCAATTATGATTGTGAAGCATTTTGGGCTTCCTGCAGGAAGATGCTATATAAATATGAAGTGATAGTAGAAAATCAAAGTGGATGTCTTTGGGCAAAACTAGAAAGCACATTACATATTCTTCCTGAGCATTTCTTCCCAGTGCATTAAAGATATGCTCAAGTTTAGGAGGTTAAACAGCACATTAGAAAATAGTAGGGGGCTAACAGCTGAGCTGTAATTCAGAAAACATTTAGCAGGAGAATGTTTGCAAATTATTTTAGTAAGAATATTAGCAAGTCATTTTGAACTTCTGAGGAAAAATAGAATATAAGAAAGCATTCCCTTTGCCTATAAGCAAAGGAGACATTTATTTATGCCTTCATCAACTAAAATAGTTTGCTAACTTCTTGCTTTTATGCACTGATATTCAAGTTGCTCATTTCTATAGATCAAAAAATATATATCTGAAACTGGAAAATGTTGAGTAGGGGTTTGCCTAAAATGCTAGAACCATTCAAAACAAATGTTATCTTTCTTCTCTTAAAAAAAATGCCTGGAATCTAATTAAGGTTGCTTCTTAGACTATGTGGAAACCACACTTTGTATTTTGCATACCAGTATCATCCTAGTACTGTTATTATGTATTTAATGCAGGCAGGTAAGAATTAGAGCATGATGTGACATAGCCTTTAATGAACTGCTGAAAAACTAAGACCCAATTCCCAAGAAAACATACAGATACATATTCTCAAAATTCTACATAATTTCAGGAGTTTCATAGATACCTCTAACCCCAAATCCCATTCATGGAATCTAAGGGTTAAAATCCTCTACAGTAGAGCAATTTCTTTTACAAAATCACCTTCAGATGCTTGTGACACAATAAATATACCAGGCTATGTTAGGTTCTAGATACATAATGGTACACACAGACAGTTTAGCAACCTTCAAAGCCATGGAGTTCACAGTCTCATGGGGGGAGGGGGACTCTTATCAACAGCCACACACACACACACAAATGACTAATGAAAATCTCTGATCAAGTGCTATAGAGATAAGAATTACAACCAACCTTCTTCAGACACCATGCAAGAAAGAAGAACAGGTAAATTTTAAAATGCTGAAAGCAGAAAAATAACAATCTAGAATTTTATACCCTGCAATATTATCCTTCAGAAGTGAAGAATAAATAAAGACCTTCTCAAACAAACAAAACTGAGGGAATTTGTTGCCAGGACACTTGCCTTGCAAACAATGTTAAAAGAGGTTCTTCAGAGAGAAGGAAAATGACAGAGGTCAGAAACTCAGATCTACAGGAAGAAAGGAAGAACAGATGGAAAAAGAATAAGGGGAAGTAAAATACAAACTTTTATTTCTCTTATTCTTCAGTGATCTAACACAACAGTTTGTTAAAAAAAATAACAGCAACAATGTATTCCATTATGTATATACATATGCTTATGTATGAGAAATGAATGGCAGCAATGACACAAAGGACAGGAGGTAGGAATTAGGATTATTTTGTTATTATAAGGTACTTGCACTACCCATGAGGTAGTGCAGTGTTACTTGAAGGTTGACTTGGCTTAGTTGCAAATCTATATTGCGAACTCTAGGGCAATCATTAAAAAAGACTTTACAAAAGAAGCATAACAGATATGCTACAGAAGCCAAAAAAACAGACTCATATAGAATGACTAATTTGAACCAAGAAAGGCAGAAAAGGTGGAAGAGAAAAACAGGAACAAAGAACAGGGGCAACAAATAGAAAACAGTAACAAATAAAGTAAATAGTAATCCAACTATATCACTAGTTGCTTTGAATGTCAATTGTCTAAATGCACCAGTTAAAAGAAATTTTCAGAGTAGGTCAAAACACAAGATGTAAGTTGTCTGCAAGAAACCCATTTTAAATATACAGACACATGAAGAGTAAAAATAAAAGGACAGAGAAAGATATACCATACCTACACTATTTTAAAAAAAGCAGGAGTTGCTGTATTACTTTCAGAAAAAGCAAACTTCAGAGCAAGTAAAGTTGTCAGGGAAAAGAGGGGCAGTATATAATGGTAAGAAGGGTCAAATCTCCAAGAAGACTTAATAATCATTAATGCATATGCACCCAACAACAGAGTATCAAAATTCATGAGGCAAAAACTGATAGAACTGCAACAAGAAATAGATGAATCCACTATAATAATTGGAGCCTTTAACACACCTCTCTCAGAAATGGACAAATCCCATAGACAGGAAATCTGTAAGGACAAAGTTGAACTCAGTAACACCATTAATCAACTAGACATAGTGGATACCTATAGACTATTTCATTCAACAACCGCAGAATACATATGGAACATTTCATGTGGAATATTTTTAAGACAGACCACATTCTGAGCCATAAAATACACCTTAACAAATTTAAAATAACAGAAAAATATAGAATAAATAATAATAATAAATAATAGGAATCATATGTCTGCTCTCAGACCACAATGGAATTAACTAGAAATCAATAAGAGAAAGACAGCTGGAAAATCCCAAAATACGTGGAGATTAAACAACATACTGCTAAATAACACAGGGATCAAGAAGTAACAAGAGAAATTTAACAATATTTTGAACTAAATGAAAGTGAGAATGCCACTTACCAAATCTGTGGGAGGCAGTGAAAGCAGTGCTTTAAGGGAAATTTTAGCATTGAATGCATGTATTAGGAAAAAAAATCCAAAGTCAATCATCTTAAGCTTCTACCTTAATAAACTAGAAAAAGAAGAGTGAATTAAATCCAAAGTAAACAGAAGAGAAATAATGAAAATTAGAGCAGAAATCAATGAAACTGAGAATAGCAAATCAATAGCAAAAAAAATAATAATAATGATGAACACAAAAGATCTATAAAAATCAATAGCCACTACAAATAGTGAATCTGTGGCATCTTACTACACTGATGGACAGTGACTGCAATGGGGTATGGCGGGGGACTTGATAATATGGGTAAATGTTATAGCCACATTGTTTTTTCATGTGAAACCTTCTTAAGAGTGTATATCAATAATACCTTAATAAAAAACC